AATCCGCAAACTTTTTAACCTCTTTTGGATTATTTTCCCTCATAGTTTTAAAGTTGTTCAACTCATCCAAATACATAAGGACTTTTCCCCTTATTCCGCCATTTTTCTTTCAAGTCTTTCTTTCGCAGCTTTATAAGCAAATGACGAATGCCCAAGTCCTTCAATTGCTTTTAATGCATCTCCACATAAATATTGACGTAACTGAAGTAATTTATACTCAGATGCTGCTGGGGCTTGATCAATACATGCATAGAATGAAGCTTTCCAATTTTCATAGTTCCTTTTGTCGCCATTAAACATTGGTATAGAGACGCGTTTTAGTTGTTTCCATAAATCATGTCCAATTTTTGCAGTCTTGATCTAAATCAATTATTTCATTTTCCATTTTACGCATGATATTCGTTGATTTGATTGATTCAATTTTGCTACTGCCATTTTTTTCTTTATTATCTTCATACTGGTTATTACTTTTTTGAGTACTTAAGCATTGATAACATTGCTTTTTTGTTTCCATTTGAAGTTCTTTTTCCATCCTTTGTTGTTTTAAACTTGATTTTCAACTTTGATTGCGCAATATTCATTCATTTACATGTTCCATAATTTCAATTTTCAATTCGTCGTTTAGTTTTTCAATTTCTTTATTGAGCTTTCCTACATTTTCTTTTGATTCCAGAAGTTCGTATTTCTTTAATAATTCAACCATTATCTTGAGAGCTTCGTTTTGAGTCTTTGTTAAATGATTACTCAATTCGTGTAACTCGTTTTTACAAGTGGGTTTATTGTCTCCAATTTGCTGAATAATTTGATGTTTAGTTTGCGTAAAGAAGACTTTTAGAACTATTTTCTTCATGTTCAATGCAGATACTTCATTTTGAACAGTTAAATGATCTTCCATTTGGTTATTTGATTTTTCTTTTTACCATTCTTCCATGTTGAAGAAACTACCCTCTGCTACCAATTATGATCCGATGGCGATCACAAATAATACCGAATATGTATTATAACTTATATTTTTAAGATCTTAACAGTTTTTACATTAACTATATTACTTATATTCTATTTATTTTTGTATTTTAAAAACAACAACAACAAAAACTCTATTTATACAAAAATTTCGTTCAATAATAAAAAAACACTATTGTTCAAATAGTCGCCACATAATTGTTATTTAGTTGGTTATAGCCATATTGGCGATATTTACTGGTTATATCGATCGTGGTATCAGAATGTTGTTTTTCTTTTATGCTAATTCAATTTTCTTCCAATCAATGTTCTTAAAGAACATTCAGCACTCTTATTCTTTTAGAGGAAGTAATAATTTTCATGTTGGTTTTGCAGCATATTCAAACTAAGTAGCTTTGCATTATGACTTTCAGTTAACCATGAAGGAAGTAGGAGAGTATTTTCCTTTATACTGCAAATTTACTACAATGATCAAATTTAATTGATTTAAAAATCAATGAAAATTTCAATGTATTCAATATTATATTGATATAAAATATGCAGGTGAGATGTTTTTTAAATTAAAAACTTTTGGTTTACTCAAGAAAATAAACTATATTCATCTTCTAGATGCAAGTTTTAGGTGGTCTTCTCAAAACAATAGGTGGTGGTTGTGTGAAAGGACATTTTAAACATTTGTTTGAGAAATATATATACCTTATATATATTTATTTTATATATGTATTATAAATTAGGTAAAAGTTGTTTTTCAACCAAATAACAATATATGGAGTATCTTTATCTTTTTCTTTTATTCCACAAACAAAATATTTACAAAAAATTACACCATACAATTAGATAAATTATAACAAAGTTTAATACTTTTAGCACTAGAGACCTTTCAAAAAATCATCAGTAGTGATATTATTGTATTCATAAAAAGAATTTTTTTTTTTTAAAACAGAAAATGATAAATATTTATTGTAGGTGAGAGTAACTATGGTAATTTATTAGTCATAATTTTAAATGTCTTTTGTTGTGCAAATGTTTTTCATATGGTATTAAATTTTTTTCATTTTTGAGCTCCAGATATACAAAAACATGGAAAAAAGGTTCTTGAATGAAATTATTCACACATTGACAATTGTATACATGGTTGTCAAACCTATCTGTTGATTGTCCATTTTTACAACTTGAAATATGTCCATTTGTAATAAATTTCTTAAATATTCTGCTAAATATTCTGCTTCTGATTAAAAATCGCTAAAGCCACACATAAAATTTTACGTTGTTTTTATTATATTCAATTTCTAAAATAAAACAAAAAATCAACAATTTAGCTGGAGTTGAAAAAGAAGATCAAATTTAAATTTTTTAATTTAAAACTTGTCCAACTCAAATGTTCAAACTTTTTAAAACTTTATCTATTTATTTTTTTATCTGAATTAAAAACTTTTCCTAATCTGACTTAATTAATTTCAAAGTAATTGTTAAAAAGTAATTATTTAATAAAAATGCTTTTGTAACAAATTTTGTTCAAAATATCTTTAAAAAACAT